TGCATTTAAATTGAGGCACCAAAAGGTAAGGAAAGGCGTGAAAAGCCCTGGGGAATCAAGGAGTACTTTCTGGAAGAAACGACACCACGAACAAGATCTCAAAGGTTGTTTAATATCTCATGAAGCGAGATATGGAAAGAATCACAGAGTGATAGTAACAGCTGGTATTTATCAGGTGCCTGCTAAGCACCAGGCATTGTGCCAAGCATTTTACCTGTCTTACCTTGTTTAATCCTCATAACAACTATGCAGTAGGGGCTACTGGCATCTGGAATTTATAATGGGAGAGCTAGGCTTTGGTCACCATACCGCCCAAGGTTACACAGCTCTTGTGTGCAGAACTAGCTAGAAAGGAGGAAGCAGATTCTATATGCCATGCCCTTAACCGCTATCGTGTTCCATGTCCCCGTGCACATGAAACTCGGAGACATGACAGGGCTGTGGCATGTTTGCTAATGACAGAAGATTCGTGCAAATGACAGGACAAGGAGTCCAGGAAAGGATATGGACCAGGGGGCGATACCATGTGAAGTGTTAGAATGTGGCAGTGACTGACTGCAAGTCAAATCATTCCTTTTGTAAATTAGGAAGTGTGCCCTAGAAAAGTTATGTGACTTCCCTAACGTCACACAGTCGACAGCTGCAAAGCAGACGAAAGGTTCAGATCCCAGGCAGCCCCCACTCCATTGTGGACAATTGGAGGCCAAACTAGGACTGGCCTTGGATGCCTTACTAGGTTGTTCTAGTTCCTTTGACCATTTTAAGTGTACAATTTAACATTAGTCCCATCACAATGTTGTGCAACCATCACCACTATCCATTTCCAGATTTTTTTCATCATCCAGAACAGAAACTCTGAACCCATTGAACAATAGCTCCCCATTTCTCCTCTCCTGGCACACATCGTTCTACTTTCTGACTCTTTGTGCATCATATATGTGGAATCACTTATTTGTCCTTTTGTGTCTGGCTTATTTTACTTAACATGATGTTTTCAAGATTCACCCATATTGTAGCATGTATCAATATTTTACCACAATTTTTTATTGTGGTAAAATACACATAATATTTACAATATTAACCATTTTTAAGTGTACAATTCAATGAATTAAGTACATTCATATCATTGTGCAAACACCACCACCATCCACCTCCAGAGCTCTTTTCATCTTGCAAAACTGAAACGAGGTACCCATTAAACAGCGTCTCCCCCTTCCCTTATCCCTCCAGCCCCTGCCTGCCAACTGGCATTCTACCTTCTGTCTCTCTGATTTTGACTACGTAGGTACCTCATATAAGCGAAATTATACAGTATTGTCTTTATGTGACTGTCTTATTTCACTCAACATAATATCCTCAAGTTTCACCCATATTATACCAGATGTCTGCTTCTTTTTCAGGCTTGAATAACATTCCATTGCATGTATACACTACATTCTGTTTATCCATTTATCTGGGGATGGACATTTGAGTCGCTTCCTCCTTTTGGGTAGTAAGAATAATGTTGTTTGAACATGAATGTACAAATATCTCTTTGGGACACTGCTTTCAATTATTTTGGGTCTCTATCTCCAAGTGAAGTTTCTAGATCGTGTGGTGTTTCTATTTTTTAAGTTTCCGAGGAAGTGCCATGCTGCTCTTCGCCACGGCTGTATCATTCTACGTCCCCACCACCAGTGCACAAAGGTTTTGCTTTCTCCACCAACACTTGTTATACTTGCTTTCTTACAAGGATGAGAAATATTCTAATGTATGTATATACCACGTTTTAAAAATTCCATCCATCAGTTGTTGGACATTTGGGTTCTTTCCCTCTTTTTGCCATTTTGAATAATGTCGCTATGAGCATTGGTGTACAAGGATCTTAGTCCCTGCCTTCATTTTTTTTTTTTTTTTTTTTTTTTTTTTTTTTGGAAGTGGAACTGTTGGATCATAGAGTAAGTGCACATTCGACTTTTTGAGAAGTCCGACTTTTGAAGGCGATCTGCGCCCCGTGAGCCGGCGCAGGTCCTCTCAGCCTCCTTCGGAACAGATATCCCCGGCGGGTGGGGGCCCTGCTCCCTCCTTCCGGCAGCCGCCCTGCCCACTTCCCCCACTTCACTGCTTTGGGGAAAGCAGTTCTCCAAGCCTCTTTTACACAGAGGTGCTAGGGGCTGAAATGAAGCTGACCCCGGTGTCCAGTTGGGATTGCCCGAGGGAACGAGGCTTGGGTGGGTCCCAGCGTGTCCTGCAAGGGCGGTGTTATGGGCAGGAGAGGAGGCTCCTCCCGGTTCTTTGAAATCTCACCGGCGAAGCGGGCCGTGTCCACCCACTGTGCCGGAGGCGCCGGGACTGAGCAGGTGAGCCAGCCGAGAAGTCCCGGGCCCTGGGGCGGGCACAGCCCTGCCAGATGGGCACCTCGAGGGCAGAATCCGCGCTGAGCCCCGGTCCGAGCGCGGGCGCCCTCGTTCCCGCCCGAGGCGGCGGTACGGGAGACTGAGTCTCGGGAACGCGCAGCCCTCCTGGCCCGGCTCCCTCCGGCGTGATCTATCCTGGACCTGCCCGGGGACGACACCAGGGTCCCCAGTCACGCGAGCACCTCGGCGACTCCTAGACACCCCGGCTTCGAGCCAGGACCCCGAGCACGCCTCCCGGAGCCAGCCGCCCCTGCTCTGGGTGTCCCTTGGCCACCGGGGCCGGGGACAGCCAGCGAGTGCGAGGTGGGCGCGGGACTGGGGTGGCCTCGCGGGGCCGCCCTTCCTCGGATCTGCCGCTGCGGCGCGAGCGCAACCCCCGCCTGAGCCGGGATAGAGCCCCGAGAAGAGGAGGAAGAGAAAAGGGACCTGTCCTCTTCCTGCGGGCTTCCGGGAGAAGCGACTTTTGTCCCTGGGCCCGAAATAAAGAAACCTGGACTTGTCCTTTGGGCGCCGGGATGCCGCAGGTACTGAGCGCGCCCTCCAGGGAGATGCTCCAAGGACCCCGCGCCGCATCCACGGCCGCCAGGTGTGGGGAGGGAGCTTTTCAAGAGACTCGCACTCGAGCGCATTTCTTCGGTAGGGGGGCGGTCTACCCACTCCTTCTGCGCTTAGGTGTAGCCTCCGAAGCTCGGAGGGCACGGTTGGGAGCATGAGAGGGCATATCGGCAGGGGCTGCAAAGAGAGGCTTCCAAGTTCGGAAGAGGAAGGTCTGGTCAAGGAGTTAGCGCGAACCGGCAAGGTCCCCAGAGGACACCGGGTAGGACCGGGGTTCTCCTTTGAGAGGTGAGAATTAAGGAGAAAAGATCGCTGGGCAGTTTCTCCCCACATCCTAAAATCTCCTAACACCCCTACCCCACAAGAAGTTTTTATTACTTCTTTGTTTAAAAAACCTGACTTTGAGACTTTTTGGTAACAGAAGGGTCTGCAAGGAGTATGGACGGCCCCACGTGGATTGCAGCTGTACCTGCTTGGGCCGCAAGCCTGGTCCCCTCTGACCTTTCAGCTCTTGGTTCTTCTCCTCACACCTGACGGGGCAAAGGGTGAGGTTTGAGGGACAGAGCGGAAGGCTCAGAGGAAGGGAAAAAGTCTGAGAAAAGTGGAGCTGAGGAGCTGGGGAGAGAGACAAGAAAGGGCTGAACTTCACTGGGGTGCAGCGGGACTTTAACCCTGGCCCCCCAAAGACAAACCCCAGATGTCTCTCCTTTGAGGAACTGGGCAGCAGGATTTCCTGAGTGTCCCAGGTGTCTTCCTTGGGACTTCCTTTTCCAGGGAACCTCAGACTTTCCATGCTTATCTGGCCCTGCTTTTCTTGACATTCCCAGTGCTTTCCAGCCCCCAGCCTTCCTCTTGCATCCCAGCAACCCGGACTGGTGTTTTCAGACCTGGTGAGGGACTGTGACAATGGGAAGAGAGCAGGGGACTGGAGGGCTCCCTCTCCTTCTTAGTCCCCGGCCGTTCAGCAGACAACCCCGCCCCTTTCGCTCTTCACTCCCCACCGCAGCCCCGGTAAGTGGTGGGGCGGAGTCATCTGGGAAAGGATTTTCCTCCCCTTCTTCGCAGCTGACTGAGGAGGCTTGAATTCCTTCCAGTTCTAGGGTGTAACATCCCACCTCTCCGGGGAACTCCATGCTTACAGACATTATTGATCTGCCTGGAGGATATTGAAACTCTGAGTGTTTAAGCAATTTACCTCAGGACATACACCAAGCCAAAGAAAGGGTTTTGCTCCAGAGCCCCCTTTCTAAGCCATTCAGTGTTTAGGCTGTGATTTCAACCCTGAAGCCTCTGCCTGGGGTCAAGCCTTGGTAAACGCTGTGCCTTGCTTCTAGGGTCACCGCAGACCTGGATGTGGGAACAGGAAGCCCAGTGAGGAGAGGGGAAGGGGCTGCTAGGTGGGCAGTGATTTTAGAGCCGTGCTTTGCCGGAAGGCAGGAGACCAGCTCCTTGAGGGCAGACAGGGTTGTCTCCAGTCCTTCCCTCTTCGACAGTGTTCAGAATCACTTCTTTTAAGCAACCGAATGGGACCATTCCACAAGGACAAAGTTCAGGCTGTCAGGAGAGGGAATGGGGTTTAGAACAAGGCACTTTCCTTTTCTTCAGCCTCCCCACAATCCCCACTTTCGTCCCTCAGAGAAAGGGCAACATTTCAGAGTCTTCAGTGGAAGGGAAATTAATGGAGGCAGTGCCTGATTATCTCTATAGCAATGCAACCTTCCCTGAGTGAGTGGGTATGTGGTTGTTAATCATTTCTTTTCTCTCACTGGTTTCTTTATTTCCACTCCATTACCCAATGTTCATTCTGAGCAGGTGGCTAATGGGTCTGCTTAGGTTACAAGGTGGTTTTTAATTTGTCCAGATTCACTCACATATGTAACCAACTGTTTGTATGTCTTTTAAAGGCTTAGGATGTACCCTAAGGAGGCTGGCAGGGACCTCTGACTCATTAAGGCACAGCTGAGCATCAGCAAAGAGAGGAGACCTCAGCTTCCCAGACCTTGTCCCAGAGGAAAACCCAGCAGTGTTGCTCAAGGCATCACCGGCCAAATGGAGATCACCGTGGGAGTCATGGGTGAGAATGCCACCAACTTCCTTTCTGTGCTTGACCCCTACGGAGCCCAAGCTGCTTCCTTCCCATTCAACTTCAGCTATGGTGACTATGACATGCCTTTGGATGAAGATGAGGATGTGACCAATTCTCGGACTTTCTTCGCTGCCAAGATTGTCATCGGCATGGCCCTGGTGGGCATCATGCTGGTCTGTGGCATTGGCAACTTCATCTTCATCACTGCCCTGGCCCGCTACAAAAAGCTGCGCAACCTCACCAACCTGCTCATCGCCAACCTGGCCATCTCTGATTTCCTGGTGGCCATTGTCTGCTGCCCCTTTGAGATGGACTACTACGTGGTGCGCCAGCTCTCCTGGGAGCATGGCCACGTCCTGTGTGCCTCTGTCAACTACCTGCGTACTGTCTCCCTCTACGTTTCCACCAATGCCCTGCTGGCTATTGCCATCGACAGGTGAGTGAGGGGGCAGTGGGGACAATAAAGGAAGGGACGTTGGAATTGTTCATTGCATTTGTGATTGACGAGAGACACCTGTATTCACCATGGATGTGGATGCATAAGGGCTCAAAAGTTGGCCCCATCACTTGTTGGACTTCTGCCTAAGAGCAAGTATAATACCAAAAGTTAGCCCAGTAACTGAAGAGTGAGAAGAGTTCTAGGTTTCCAGCTGTTAGCAGGCAAGAGGTTGCAGAGCCCTATTGAGTCGGGCCAGCGGGAAGGCTTTGGTTCCCTCTTCTACGGATGTGCTCCTAGATGTTGTATCTGTTCAAGGTCTAGAGATAGACAGGTAAGAGGTGTGGAAGGACAAGTTTAAGTGCTAGGCAGGTGCCTCTTGAGTCAGCTTGGATACCTTAATTGAGATTTCTATCTTATCAGGACTTCCTCTACTAAAACAAAAGCCCCTACCCTCCACCACCACCGGGTGATTTTAAAATAAGATTAAGGGATTTGTTTTGAAAAAATAAAATATAATGAAACAAAAAGGAAACATGTTTACTTCTTTTAGTTGTTGCATTAGTCAGTTTGCTCCTTTTCATATATTTGCATGCAGCACTATAAGTAGACCTGTTTCTAGTGATGATAAATAAAATCAATAAGAGTAGCCTTTGCAAATCTCTCTGATGTTATGTTTAGTCTTTTCATTTAGTATAATCACCTGTGCTAATGGCCAGGGAGGTTTTCTGTTCCTTGGGGACAATCTGTGCAAGCCCCTCTGCCCAAACATGGTCTCTCATTACAAAACACCTTGTTACAGTGTAGACACAGTTAGTTACCTTGAGGGTCAAATCAGGCCTCCATGTACTTGGATCTGAACAGCTAGTCTCTCTTCCTTAACTCAGAAAGCCTGAAGCACAGATGTTCTCCCTGTTCCATGGCCTCAGGGCTCTATTGGAGTTCAGCCTGCCCCTCACACTCAGGACACCCCAGGACAATGTTCTGGGGGCAGCACAGCAAATAGAGCCTGTTTTCTGGAGCCATAGGCTGGAAAATCAGAGATGCAATAACCTAGAAAGAGACCACTCCTGAGGAAAGGGGTTGGAAAGGAACCAGGCTTTAAAACCATTGCAGGGTGGAGGCTTGGGGTCCTTTCTCGAGGGAAGGATGATGTTAGTGAGCTAGCAGCTTAAAAGCCCTTGGTCTGTCACCCGTAGAAGGTGCTTAGAGGTGTTGTCCCTGCAGAGGGCTCCTTCTCCTTGACCAAGGTCTCCCACATGAGTCACAGAGCCCCACAGCATTTTGTCCATCTAGGCACGGACCATGAGTGGACCTACGGAAGGAACAGCAAGGGGAAAGTCAAGCTGGGTATCTGTCCCCTAAGTCCCCTTCATTGCTGTCAAAGAAGAGCTCCAGGTATTGTTGACCGTTTCTGCCCTTAGAAGCTGCCATCATCTTTCTTAGCGCATCAACAGAACAAAGCATACAAAGTCATTTCCTGAAGTTTTGTTCTAGCAAGACATCTTTTCACAAGGGGTATTCTCAGCCACTAACAGTGGGGTAGGTAGGTGCCTGCTGTGGGTAGGACCCTGCTCTCTGGGTGAGATCCATTCTACCATGCGAGCTCCGACTTGTTCAAAGGTGTGACAAGGTAGTTGGGAGTGGCTTTAAGGGGGAAGGAAACAGGGATAAGTGAATGAGCACTGGGTTATTTTGAACATGTAAGAGATGAGATTTATGACGATATATTGAACTCTTGCAAGCCCTTAGCCTACTTTCATACCAAACTCTGCTTGCCTGAAATACTGCAGGCATTTCTCTTGCAGTGTAAGTGTGTATAGTGCAACTTATTACAACAAGAAAGATTAGTTGAGGAACCTGCAGTGCATCACGGAGACTGCTGTTGGTCAGAGCAGGGTTGTGAGGGGAAACTTGCACCCAGACACTGGAAGAAAACGCTGTGGCCTGTACGGGGCCATCCAATGGCCTTGGCCAACTAACTAGCTGCTCCAGTGCATTAAGTTCCTTTATTGATGTCTGTGATCTTTGCTTCAAATTGTTTTTATTTTTGTGTGTTTTTACCATCTAATTTAAATTTTGTGGTCTAGGACCTCATTGATTATTGTCTGGTCTTGTCATAGGCTTTGTTCAGGATTTGATCAGTGATTTTCAGGTTTGATTTGTTTAGTTTTGGGCAACTAATTATTATCTCGATATAACAATATACCTATGGTTATAAAAATTTTTTTTAAATAAAATTTGTGCAGGAAAATAATGTTAGCAGTTATTCTGCCTGGATTTAAATTCCTGCTGTATCACCTATTAGCAACAGGGCTTTGTTAATTATTTGACCTTACTCTCCCTCAGTTTTCTCATGTATAAAATTAGAATAATAAGAAAACCTAATGTATTAGGTTGCTTTGAGGATTAAATTAAATAATAGATGTAATTGTTTGAGCAATGTTTAAAACAGAGTAAACACTAAATATAGTATATATAGTATGATAAATATAGTATGGGTAGTATAATTCTTGAATTAACCCTGAAAGGTATAACAATCAAAAGAACAAAACAGTTAAATGAATGAATATTTCTAATTGGCTGACCTCTGTTTTTCATTGAAGTGATTTTTTTTTTAATGATGTGATTTAAAAATTAATAATACCAAGTTTCTAAGAAACACAGTTATCAAGATATAACAGAATGGAACTATTATTCTTCCACCTGCCTGACCTTCTCTGTTCCTGTTATTGGTTCCATGGTTTTCCCAGGCATCTTTCTAAACTAGCAAGTCTCCTCTGTCCTGGCCACTCTCTCCATTTCCCCAGCATTCATTGCACTGCCAGGTCCTGCCAATAATCCCCACTCCTCCCACCTGTTCACTCAGGGCTGGGCTATCATAGTCTCCTCTTGGCCTTCTGTGGCTCTTGGCTTTACTCTCTGACACCCCTAATGTCCTCATAATCCACCCTAGACATTCAGTCATTCATTCAAACAGTGCGTTTTTATAGAGTGACTACATGTGACAGATAGCATTCCAAGCATTGGGGATATGATGGTGAATAAGAGAAACTCCTTGCCCAGGTGGAGCTTTCATCCATTGGAGGGAGAGAGCTAACAGGCAAACAAACAAGAAAGGTAATGTTAAGATTGTGAGAAATACCCTCAACAAAAGCAAACAGACAAGAACAAACTCACAAAAACATTTGAGACTGAGGGTGGGAGCTACTAGGCATGGAGTCAGACAGGAAAAGTGTCTCTGAAAAGAAGACATTTGAACCCACTTCTGAATGATGGAAAAGAAAAACAAAAAAGTCAGCCTTGTGAAGAGAGGGAAAACGCATCCCAGATAAAGGGAATTATAAGTGCAAAGGCCGGAGACAGGAACAAGCCTGAGGGGTTCTAGGAACAGAGAGAAGGGCCCTGTGGCCTGAGGGAAAGCAAGTCTGTAGCCAAATTAATCTTCTGTCTTGTGTGTCTCCCTGCTCTGGCTGTAAAGACCTCCAATATCTCCATTGTTTACAACACATGCCTCAAACCTTTTCACCTGCTCTTGCAACCTTTCATTATTGAGCTCCAAGCTGTCTCCCAGTCTCATGCAGGGTAAACACAGTCATGTCTTGTTTTCCAAAGAAGTTTATAATCTTTTTGAAAGTGTCACCATGGCTGGCTATGTTTCTATTTGTTTAGTGCCAGGCACTGCTGCGAGTGATGTTTCACTAAAATCCTGGGCACCCAGAATTCACAGACAGCAAAAACGTATTAAGGAAGTTAAGACATAATCCCTGCTCTCAGGAGTTTAGCACCTAGCGTGGGATGAGGTGGATGGGGAGTGAGCCAACACTTATGATACAGTTAAAGGATAACGTAAAGAATAAATTTTAAATGAAATTTAGAGAAGGGTGAGATCATCGTGTACCTGAGTAGTCAAAGGAAGTTTCACGGAGGAGGGAGCCTTTTAACTGGCTTTCAACATGTGGTGATCAGCAAAGGAAAGATTTTCCAAGAGGAACAGTGTTTGCAACAGCCTAGAAGTAGGAATGCTTGAGGTATGAGGTCCCTTGTGGAGGCATGTGGGATAGAGGCAAGGAACACATGGAAGGTAGAGATCAGAAAGGATAGGGTCATAATCCAGAAGATCTCAAAATCTAGGCACAGGGAATCAGACCTGATGGCAGCCAGAAACTGGAAAAGACCACTGAAGGACCCTGGCCCTCTGGACCTGGGTTTCCTCATTGATTTGGAGACACCTGCACTGTCCGTGAGGTATGTCCCTCATATCCCAGAGCATGTGGGGCACTGGGGGGACCCTCCCTTTTTTTACCCAGAATCCAGAGGAAACTGATCATTCTGCCTGCCCTTTGGCAGCAGTCTTCTTCTGCCGGAGGGAGGCCAGCTAAGGCATGAGTAATCACATTCAGTCCTAGGTAGAACAAATGCTCCCCAGTGAGCTTATTGGTTGGAGCTAGTTGTCCCAGGAGCAAGTTATGCAATTCCTGCCCATCCCAGGACCAGCCTAGTAGCTGTTCAACCTCTACTTTCATGGTTTTATCTGGGGCTGGGTCCTGGGGACAGAGAGGGAGCCCAGTGCTCTTTGTTAATCACCCAGGCCACTATCATCACACAGTTACTGCCTGGACATTTCTTTTTCTAGCAGCCTTCATTCTATGCTGATCCTCTACTTTGCTGATCACCACATGTTGAAAGCCAGTCAAAAGGCCCCCTCCTCCATGAAACTTCCTTTGACTACTCAGGTACACGATGATCTCACCCTTCTCTAAATTTCATTTAAAATTTATTCTTTATGTTATCCTTTAACTGTATCGTAAGTGTTGGCTCACTCCCCATCCACCCCACCCCACTCTAGGTGGTAAGCTCCTGAGAGCAGAGATCATGTCTTACTTCTTTAATAAGTTTTCGCTGTCTGTGAATTCTAAATGGATCTGGACCTGAGCCATTGTAGCGGTGGACACACAGGGCAAGCCAAGGGCATACTCATAAACAGAGAAAAGTAGCTGCCAGTTGCCTGACTCCTTCTTGGAACATCAATAGGTAGAATCCAACTGTGATGGAGAGAAAAGAGCAGGACTGTTAGGATGCCAGGAGGAGGGTAGGAAGAGGGGGATTTGCTTGCTCTGGTTGTGAGGGAGGGGACAGCTGGCATACTGGAGAACCCACAATATCTGGAGCAAGATATGGATGGGTCTGCATCATGGTTCTGTCAGTTTCCAGCTATTTGGCTATTAGCAGGTTATTTAGTCTCTCCAGACCTCAGTTTGCTCATCAGAAAATGGGTGTCTTCTCTCTTACCCACTGAAATGAAGAAGTGAGTTTGAAATGTTTAATTGTAAGTTGCTTTGCAAACATAAAAAAGTATTACTAATATTGGAGTTAGTTTTGATCCTAGTATAGCCAAGGCTGGTGGCAATCCTTGAAACAATTTTTGCAATTTGCTTATTGGTACGTGTATTTGGAAGGTCCCTTGGCACAGTTCCTGGTGCCAGCCCTGGGGATGGAGCGAGGGTGATGTCAGAGAAAGCCTGGATGAAATAACTATTTGATGGGTGGTCACGGATTACCCTGAAGTTTTTATGTGAAAATAAATAGAATCAATAAAATAGGTTCAATAAAATAAAAAGTAGTAGAGAACTTTCAAATGTAGTATTTGCCAAAAACAGGTGAAAGAAATTTTCTATGTATACAGAAAAGCTCTGAAAAAATACATTTTCGGATACGAACAGTTTCTTGTATATTAATAGCCTATTGTTGTTTATATGCAGTATTGGACCTCACAGTATCTCTGTAAGGTTGGTGAGGCAGTGATATTCCCATGTTATGGATGAGGAAATTGAGACCACAGGGTTAAGAAAAATGGCTCAAATTCACATAATAAGATGGCAAAGCTAGGATTAGTTTCTTGGTCTTTTGACTCCTAGATTGGCATTCTGTTCTATTTGTTCATTGAAAAAAAAAAAACACTTTGACTTTCAAACATTATAAAGATTTAGGAAGTTACGATTGGGAAAAGAAGGAACAGAATTATATACTGAAATTCATATACTAAACATGAATGAATATAGAAATATTCTTTGACAAAGTAATCAATGGAACGTGGTGGGGCAGATAGAGAGGGAGAGAGGTAGTGAAAGCAAAAACACTAAATTCTTAGTTTCCATCATGAGTCAGAACAAGTTTGGTGCACTGATTGTAGCAGGAACACCATGGTGTTTATGAAGGACCCATACATACATGTCCACTGACAAAGGCTCTGTCAACACCCTGTGGACACTGTCGTTCCACCCATCAGCACGCAGAGTTTGGTGAGAGTGCCAAGGGTTGTGGACCCAACCCATCCAGCTTCATCTGACATCTGAGAGCTGTGAGACAGCAGGAGTCTCACTCCAGTGAACTCTCCAAATGACACTCCGTGGAGCTGGCTGCTTAGGTTGGCAGGTGGAGAAAGGGATAGAAATAACAGGAATATAATCAGAACAACAACAACAAAAAGAATGAACCTTCTCTTCCACTCAAAATCCCAAGAAAGATGACCACCTCAAAGGGACTGGTTTCAAAGAAAACAGAATTGATTTGACTTTCCTTCATACCCCTGTCACATTTGCTCTTGGTTCTACCTGAGATTTGGGCAGGTGAGAATGTGTTTATTTCCAATGTCGACTAGTCATTCCCTCCCACTTCTCTCCCTATCTTTCTCCTTCTCTAATCTCTACCCCCTGCCAGACCAGAAAGTCTTCCAGGAAATCAAAACTCTCTGCATAACTACCTATGTGCACTCTCTCTGGGAAGGGGGTGTTCATACCGCACAGACGACTCACATCCCCCAGAAAGTGCTCTCCCTTTGCTCCTGGACCACTGTGGTAACAGCAGTGGATTTCTTTTTTCTTTTCTCTTTCTTTCTTTTCTTTTCTTCTCTTTTCTTTTTAACAAGAGCAGTATCTTTTCCTATCTGGTGCTTTGTGGTTAAAAAAAACACATTGATGTATATTCTCAATTGATTTTCACATCAACCATGTGAGATAGGGTTAAATGTTTTCTATCAAGGGTCCTATGGTATATGACCTTGAGAAGATCACTCATCTCTCACCAGCCTCTATTTTTCCACCTGGAAAGTAAAATAAATTATCATACATCTCCCCCACCCCCCACCCCTTACATACAGAACAGTATTTTTTTAAATGTGGAATGAATACAAAAGTTTGCCCACTGCTTCCACTGGAAAGGGCGAGTTCTCCCAATAAGTCTTTGGAATTATCAGGCCCTTTTAGCTCTAAACTATGGGGTAATTGGGATGAATGGTTCTGAAACAGGAAGACCCTGGGAATAATATAAGACTAGAAACCAATGGGAGATTTTATTACTACATTTAATAACAATAGTTACCATTTATCGATTATATACCATTTATTGAGTATATGCCAGGAATTGTGTATACATTAGCATATTCAATCCATGAAAACAAACAAAAACTTTTGCAGATAAGAAAACCAAGACTCTGAGAGATTAAACAAAACTTGCTAGAGGTTGCAACAGCTAGTAAAGGGTAGAACTGGGGTTTCAATTCAAGTCTGCCTTTCTCAAAAGCCCATAAACCATTGTGTTCTTCTTCCACATACACAATTTGGTTGCAAAAATATCATCACTGAGAACTTCCTTGTCACAGTGGTTGACCTGTTTGTGTTCCTCTCCTAGATATCTCGTCATTGTTCACCCGCTGAGACCCCGGATGAAGTATCAGACAGCCACTGGCTTGATTGCCTTGGTGTGGGTGGTGTCCATCCTCATCGCCATCCCTTCAGCCTACTTCACAACTGAAACGGTTCTCATCATTGTCAAGAACCAGGAGAAGATCTTCTGCGGCCAGATTTGGCCCGTGGACCAGCAGATCTATTACAAGTCCTACTTCCTCTTCATCTTCGGCATCGAGTTCATGGGCCCCGTGGTCACCATGACCCTGTGCTACGCCAGGATTTCGCAGGAACTCTGGTTCAAGACCGTGCCTGGTTTCCAGACGGAGCAGATCCGGAAGCGGCTGCGCTGCCGCCGGAAGACAGTCCTGGTGCTCATGTGCATCCTCACGGCCTACGTGCTGTGCTGGGCGCCCTTCTACGGCTTCACCATCGTGCGGGACTTCTTCCCCACCGTGTTCGTGAAGGAGAAGCACTACCTCACGGCCTTCTACATCGTGGAGTGCATCGCCATGAGCAACAGCATGATCAACACCCTGTGTTTTGTGACCGTCAAGAACCACACCTTCAAGTACTTCAAGAAGATCATGCTGCTCCACTGGAAGTCTTCATATAATGGGAGTAAGTCCAGCGTGGACCTTGATCTCAAAACCATGGGGGTGCCTGCCACCGAAGAGGTGGACTGCATCAGGCCAAAATAACCCAGCGGACCTTTCAACGTTTAAACAGGACCTTTGGGACTTTGACCCGTGTACTTAGATATACACTGTCAACCAAGAGCTCTTTGTTTGCCACAGAGGGAAGAGTAAATGCACAACTATGTGAACATTGTGTTGAAGGAGCTCAGATTTTCTAAAACCGAGGTGACTAAACACTGTCACCAGTGGCTGACATTCACTGAACAAATTAGTTTGTGCAAAGAGTAGGCATGGGTGAAACCTATAGAAGTTGATGACATGTAATGGGCAAAAAGAAGTAGGGATTAAACAAAAAAAAATGTTGGGGCATAGACAGCCTGGAATAAGGAGGTCCCAGAAGGGAACCTGAGTAGGCATCTAGGCTGTGGTACGTGTGTTTGTAGGGTAAGGGTCTCTCTGGACAGTCTCATCTACTCATCAGACACAGACACAGCCCATCCCTAGGACTGTTCTTAGGCTTCAGTTCACTCCTACCATCTGTGGGGTTGGAGCAAAAATACAAAACAGCCTGCCAATTCTTTCTTCAACTCTTCTCATTCCTCGTCCTGACTCTCACTGTAAGGAGCCTTACATGCAGGCACATGGACAACTCAGTATGTATGGCCAAGTTGTATCCAAACTCTCTTCCCCCGTGTTGCCCACTGGCCACCCCTCAGGCCTAGGGCTATGTCCATATGTGGTGAAGCTCATCATTATGAGGATGGACCTGGGGAAGAAGCCACAGAAGCCCTGGGAGCCATTAGACAGGGAATTATGGGGTTCTGGGTACCTGGAGCAAGTCAAGAGGGGGAAGCCTGGGCTCGGGATGGGTATGTCCCCTTGGCTCAATGGACTTCTCACCCTCAGTGGGAGGGGTACAAGTAGAGGACCTCTGAAAGTGTGTGGGGCTCTGGAGAGGGGCTCAGGTTCTCTGGGTCTGAGGGTGATACTGCCCCCACCTCTCAGTTTTTCTGACTTGGACAAGTTAGGCGTCCCCTTATGTACTTCTCATGCTAGTGAAGCATAGAATCGTTGAAAGTAGACACAACACCTCATGAATGTGGCTGTGAGCCACTTTTTCATTCTCACCAGCTTTCACCCTTATTGGTATGATTTAAGGGCCAGATGCCTCTGTCACTGGTGCCTAGGTCTCATCATAATCATTATTCTTTTGGATTAAAATTTTATTCTCTTTTAAAATGGAGGTAATTTTGAGAGGCATAATCCATCACATTTCCACGCCTCAGTGTGAATGAAGCCATGCAATCCAGTGGGAGGCAATGAAGGTCAGTGGTAGAGCCCTGGGTACCCAGGAAAGAAAGGGAGACACACGGAGGGGGGCAATAACCATGAAATTCAGTGACTCCACAGGCTTGTGGAGACCTTGTCCCACTTTACTGTCACCTCCTTTGTTTGGTGTTTTTAATTTTGGAATTTGGAATTTTTAACCAAATCTGATCCAGCCTTGGTTTTGTCACCTCTGTGACCCTGGGGAAAGCCTCTTGGAGGGAATGAAGATAATACCTGTGGTAGTTATTGAGGAGGTGGGTGTAAAGAGCCAAGGAGATAATGTGTGGAAAATCCCTTTCAAGCACTCGGATAATCAAAAGAATAGTCGTAACTGTGTGCAATGTACCTGGACAAGGAAAAACTTGATAGATTGGCTTATGTATCTAGAAACCTCTCAATCTTCCCTTTTCATTATCCTTTGTGTAAATTATTCCCTTTTACCTCTCAGCAGTGCTACAGGTAGTATGTTCTTAATAACAAATTGGCACAAGGCAGTGGAATTTGGTAGCAGAAGTGTATTAGGAAATGGTAAATCAATCTCCAGTCAGAAAATGAGCTCAGGGTGTTAGGAAATTCCAAATCAAAACATCTTTGTGATCATAGAAGTATTGACCATCTTCCTATGCCTGTTCCCCAGCCAGCATGAATCTGGACAGTGTGATACTTATTTCTCAATATGTTTTTGTTCTCTTGAGCATTTACAGCTATAGAATTGACTTGCCCTTTTCTTCCTAAATAATTCTAGAGTAACACTTAACTCTAGAGTACTAGTTAAGTGAAAGCTGTATTGCATTCCCCGCCTCCAAATATAGTCAACTCTTTATTTTTTGGTAGCAAAGTTTATTTTTTATAGTTATTTTATTTCCCTGGAAGATACATTCCAAAAATCTATTATTTTTCCATTCATCATCCAGCAGATTTACTCTACAGTTTAATCAGAATACTCTCAGAGAAAAAATAAAAACTAACGAAAGTATTAGCCTAAATTCACCATGCTTTGGAAGGCAGTTATTACTTTTTATAAAATTATATATTGCATTATGAAACCAAGAAAGCTTTTATTTTTTATGAAATTAAATTTTCATTTTATAGCATTCAAAATTGTAGCTTACATGTATATGACTTCTGAAATAAAATGACACAACATAATCTTTTTGTTCCACAAAAATATTCCACATACATGCATATGATCAAAACAATCTTCTTGGTTGAGAAATTTCCCATGCACAGTAAGTTTTTTTTAAAAAATTGACAACTATTTCAGTATTTCCAATGTTAAGATAATTGGGTGCCACCTAGTGTTCAATTTCTGCAACTACTAGACTTACAAATTAAAAATTGCTATCAAAACCCAGGTTTCCAAAATCTGCATCTTGGAAATGTTGTTTGTTGATGTTTGTAAAATAAGGCAAAATAAGTTCATGAAAAGAATGTATGTGATATAAAAGTTAGTATAAAATAGTCACATGCCACTTAAATATTAAAAACAGACTTAATCATTTCTGACTTCAAATGCAATTTTCTGCCTCCCAAAATCATGAAAGACAAAGACCTACATCCAAGATTACTCTATCCAGCAAAAGTATCATTTAGAATGGAAGGGCAGATAAAGTGCTTCACAGATTAGGAGAAGTTAAGGAAGTTCATCATCACCAAGCCCTGAGTATATGAAATATTAAAGGGACTTATCTAAGAAAAAGAAGATCAAAACTATGAACAGTAAAATGACAACAAACTCACAACTATCAACAACTGAACCTGAAAAACTAAAACTAAGCAAACAAGAAGAACAGGAACAGAATCACAGAAATGGAGATCACGTGGCGGGTTATCGGCAAGGAAGGGGAGAGGGGAGGATGGGGGAAAAGGCACAGGGAATAAGAAGCATAATTAGCAGGCACAAAATAGACAGGGGAAGGTTAAGAGTAGTATAGGAAAATAGAGAAGCCAAAGAACTTTTATGTACGACCCATGGACATGAACTAAAGGGGGGGATTGCTGGTGGGGGGGGGGGGGTTGCTGGTGGGGGGGGTTGCAGGGCAGAGGGGCATAAAGGGGAGAAAAAAATGGGACAACTGTAGTAGCATAATCAATAAAATATACTTTAAAATAAATAAAAATCTGGAGGTCCCCCCAAAAGTTTTTTTTCCAAAACCTCAAAGGTACACCTAGATAACTGAAATACACAGAAAGTCACTGTACAGTCAACAGGCTATCAAACCTAGGGCTTAATCATAATCCAAGAGTATAGGGCAAGTGGTTTATTCAAAACATCCATTTACTTCCTGGAAATGGTCAAAGTAGGAAAGGTAATGCATTTTTTCCTCTTTTTAAAAATAGTAGATGTGCTCTTTTACCCATAAGCTCCATTATACCAAAAGAACAAAGTGGCTTAACATTTCATTTAATTCAGCACTATCAGTTTTCAAAGAAATACCTTAGAAACAACTCATTCTGCTTTAACAAACTGCACTCAAACTAATGATAATTTTAATCTTCTTTCATAGGCCACAACCCAAATCCAAATTGTTGAACAACCCTCAGAGGAGTTGGAGTGTAAAATGTTGAGGTCAATTTAGATATCATCAATGTCTTCATCAACATCTCCAGCGCTGGACTTCATCGTCATCTGCAGGACCAAATGTGCGCTTCACTGATTTTAGCATGCTCCGGGGGCTCACCATATGCGTTCAGACTTCTTACTTCATCTGCATTGTATTTTAAAAGTACATCAGCTTTATCGCCCTGGTAGTCTCGTAGACCAACCAATATTATATCTGACGTATTCATCCAAACCTTTTTTCTCTATTTCCCTATAACTGACACAACATCTTTACACCATCCAAACACATTGCTTCTAAGCTTCCATTTCCCAACATTTTGATTACTTCAGCACAATATTGTCCATCTCCTTTGAACACCAGTTCTTTTTTTCAGATTCATTCGCAGTCTTACCCCTACATCTGTTTTTACCTCCTTTATCTTCCTTCTTGGGCATAATGGTGACAACGCCTCGCTGTGTCTCCTATCCTGGGCAGTGGCCCATTCAGGCGGTGGTGGCAGTAGCTGCTTCTGGCACCTCGTCCGACAGGGGCTGGAAGCAACATGTCAAGAAAATTTTGACTAAAAAAATGATAAAATGATGTAATTTGATGTTACTCTGTTCACCTTTTCCACTAGGAATGCTAAACCACAGTTGGTGATTTTAAATATGAGCTTTTTAGATGTGACAACCAAACCTCTTTCGGCTTTTCAGCCTAAAATGTATCAATTTTTCATTCATTATCTGTAATATCTCTAGATATTGTGTCTGCTTGTGATTTTACAGTGAATGAAATTGTTGTGTAGTTATCAAGTGAAATAAAAAACCGTACATATATAATAGTTCGATATAGTGTTTCTACAATTTCCAGTCGCCATGGTTTTCCTATTTACAGTGTGATGGTTCTGTGAATGAACACTGAATAAAGGCCAAGTCCATGATCAGATGAATTATGTGAGAAGTGCTAACTCATGCTCATATTGCCTACGAACTTCTACTTTCCATCCTAAGGAGATTTAACTGATTTACATCTCTTCCTATAAGTCTTCTGTGGTAAAACCATTAATGCTTTTTAGTACCTGAGAGCCAAGACTGGAAATCTGAGGACCTGTTTATGCCTGTTACATGAGCTAAGGTTAAACCTTTGAAGAGGCTCAATGTCCATACATGCAAAGTGAACCAGGAGATGAAC